TCCATTCACCCCTGCAAAGAGAGGTTTAATAATTTAAAGAACTAAAAAGAATTTAAAGAACTAAAAAGAATGAAGCCAAATCTGAATTATTTTCTCTTATTTATTTATCTAGTGTATATTTAGTGATTTAAGGCCAAAACAACATCTTGCAAGCACTGTTGGACTCAGTCTTTAAAATGAAAAACTTTTGGAACTTAAAATTATTTCTCCCCATTTGTGTACATCCCTTTTCCAAACTGACAAATGGGCTGTTTTTGTGTTGTGGATCCTAACATATTATTGAATAAAATTACAAGAGGAAGAGGCTTTTCCTAAAGAGCAGCAGGCTGGAGGGAAACTTGCATTTTCTGATGCTTCTCCACCTGAGAAGAGGAAGTGAGTGGAAGGTTCAGTCACCTTGGGCTCTCCGTAAAATGCCCCGGTGTCCTGGGAGCATTTACTGGCAATTCATAGTGCAGGGATTTCCTGGTATTAATCAGTTTACTAGAACATTTTTGCTGAGGAAGCTGAACATTGGGGTTATGATTATATATGATAAACACTGAGTAATTACTATGATTGCTTTCTCGTAGCAGCAGATATGATGGAAATCTACTGGGGAGGCACCTTCAGTTGAGAATTCGGTGATAGCTTTCTTCATCTCATATGTCAACTAGCCTTGCAGGTCTGATGGGTTGCGGATTTCTCTTCCTAGATTTCTCACATCTCTGCTTATTGCAGGCTAATTATGTTTTCCTTTGTGTCTCTTGACATAGCTTTTTTCCCCCCTTATTTTCCTCATTTATGTAGTAAAGCACACATGGAGTTTGGAGCATAGTATGGTTGAGCAGGTGTGTGTGTGTGCATGCGTGTGTGTTTGTGTGTGTGTGTGTGTTTGTGTGGTATTTTTTTGGAATTTGGAAGGTTAAATAAGGATTTTTGTTATTATTATTCGTTTTATGTATCAGTGTCCAGTCTAAGAAGTTGAAATCCTAGGGTGTATTTCTAGTTTGTAAAAATCTTTTTTTTTTTTTAAAGATTTTATTTATTTATTTGAGAGAGAGAGAATGAGAGACAGAGACCATGAGAGGGAGGAGGGTCAGAGGGAGAAGCAGACTCCCTGCCGAGCAGGGAGCCCGATGTGGGACTCGATCCCGGGACTCCAGGATCATGACCTGAACCGAAGGCAGTCGCTTAACCAACTGAGCCACCCAGGTGCCCTAGTTTGTAAAAATCTTTTGACAAGGAATGTTGTCAGTACTTGCCCTTCAGGTGAGATTTAGTAAATTGACGTTCACCCCCAGATTCTTGAGCAAAAATATTTTAAGATTTTTAATTTTATTTTATTTTATTTATTTGAGAGAGAGAGAATGAGAGACAGGAGAGCACGAGAGGGAAGAAGGCAGAGGGAGAAGCAGACTCCCCGCCGAGCAGGGAGCCCGATGCGGGACTCGATCCCGGGACTCCAGGATCATGACCTGAGCCGAAGGCAGTCGCTTAACCAACTGAGCCACCCAGGCGCCCTTGAGCAAAAATATTTTAAATAAAAACACTTGCTTACTGTATCTGTCATCTGCTACTGTCTGTATCTTCTACACAAAATCTGCTTCTTTTGGAAATGAAGTTGTATACTAAGGTGTTTTGCAGTTTGCTTGGTAATTGCATCTCTCTTGACCTCTGGAAGAAAAGTGATTTTGTTTTAGCTGTTGTTTAAGCAGATGTCATTTATCTGAGAGAGGAGCACAATGCAGACCTAATCATAAATAGGAGGGGTTTTAAGGAGTGCTGCATTACGTTACCTTGTGTCCTTTGGGAATGGGACATAGAGCTGCTGCAGAGGCTCCTCATGGAAGGGATTGTCTAAGGAGCTTGAAAGGACCAGCTTTCTGTTTAATAAATATGGTGGGTACTAATCAGTTTCCCTTACCGTCAGCTTTACCTTCTAAAGCTTTTCAGAAGAGCATGGATAATTTTCTGAAGAACAATTTGTCTTTCTTATTGCATAAGACATAGGTATGAAACCAAGAAGCAAATGAAGAATTCTTAGATTTCAGTAGGAGAAAATATAAAGCAGCCATTCTCTGTCATTTCAGTAGCTAATTTTCCCATGTGAGAATATTGCATTGAATAAAGTAAAATTATAAAGTAAAATTTTATCTATAACATTTAGAGTGGTTTGATTTTTTTTTCATTTTCATGCAACTTTGAGAATTAATTTTTGCATGATGTTTGATCTTATTTTCCATGGAAACATGAACTCTGAAACATACATTACTTTTCCTATCGGGAAAAAATGAAGTTTTCCAATACAGGGTTTGACTCTTGTCCCTCATTATAATCTAAGCATTCTAATTTTATTTCTTTTACATTGATCTAAGTTATGTAGAGTAAAATATCTGAATGAGTCTCTTTAAAATTAAATTAAATTAAATTAAATTTTTTAGAGAGAGAGGGAGTGAGTACGAGCAGGAGGGGGTTAGAGGGTCAGAGGGAGAGAGAGAATCTTAAGCAGGCTCCACGGGAGCATGGAGCCAGACACAGGTCTTGATCTCACAACCCTGAGATCAGGACCTGAGCTAAAACCAAGAGTTGAATGCTTCACCAACTGAGCCACCCAGGTGCCCCCTTAATGAGGCTTTTAAACCCCGAACTAATAAGACTTTTTGAGATGAAATGGCATAGTTGATTCTATTTAATAAATAATAAGGCTATTATTAAGCAGAAACTTGCATTTGAATATTTGTTTTACCCCTGGCCTCATAATAACCAGAAACTTGGCCCACCCTCACAAGAGTCCTTGGGACATAGTTACTTGGATATATTGCATTTACTTCAAACCCACCCAAGATGGTATTGATTTTCTCAGCCCTGTCAATGTTTCTGGGATTTTGTTGTCACTTAGACTGAAAATCTAGACTTAATCCTAATTTTCCCCCACTTTTATCCCCTGTATTCATTCTGTTGCCAAGTCTTTGGGTTCTTTCTTTGAAATATTCCCAATTGATATATTTCCTTTCTGTGTTACTAAAATCCATTTCTCAGCACTCAGTGCCGGATATCTTAACTAATCTGCTTCTAACTGGTTTCCCCACTGCTGTTTCCCTCCTAGCCCTTTGGAGGCTTTCTAATTCTCATAACTATATTTCATATGTTGACTCTTCTGCTCGAGACCCTGGAATGGCTCCCTGCTCATCACTCTTAGTGAGGTTTCAACTGCCTTGCTTTATATTCTGTACCCGAGGTTCTTCTAATTTCTTCTCTCTCTAATCTCGCCCTTCACTGTGTGTAGTCACCGGCTTGTAGGTGCTCAGCTTTAAAAGTTCTTTCCCACGTGGATTGTTTGGAGATTGGAATTAATTTTTTAAATGTAGAAACAATTATTTAAGAGACGTGGTTGAGTTCTGAAGCTTTAACTCAAAGGGCTGTGTTTCCTCATGTAGCTGATTTCTGGCTTCTGGAAGCCAGAAGCCATGTCGAATAGGGAGGCAGGGGAAGGAGGGACTGCTTTCTCCTTCTTTCCCCATTGCAGGGTCATCTAGCACGAGGCAGAGCTCACAGTGATTTTTCATGTGTAAAGGTAGCCTGCAGCGTTTGACTTCTGTTAACTGTCTTCCAGTCCTTGGAACTACCCAAACTAAAAGTGCATTAATCAGTTCAGTAATTACATTATTACTAAAGTAACAGTAATTGCTTTTTACTAAATACTTTCACTTATGACTTTTCTAATCCTTACAACAATCTTGCATGGTACCGTAAAGTCACCTCCATTTAATAGATGAACATACTGAGACAGGGTAAAGTTTAAGTATGTGCAGCTATTGATTTATAAACACAAGTCTTCCAAATAACCTATATATATTTGTAAATCACTTAAAAGAGTAAGTGCTGTGTTGAGTGTTTGTTAAAGAGATACACGGCTAACCTCCATCCTTTCTCCACTTCATCTCCTCCCTCGCTATACACAGAACTGCTGGGGCACTCTTCCTGCTTTATAGAGACAGGAGAGCATCAAGGTTGATGGCTTCTTTTGCTGTTCAGAGGTGTTTTAGTATGATGTAGTCCCACTTGCTTATTTTTGCTTCTGTTGCCTTTGCTTTTGGTGTCAGATCAAAAAATTATTGCCAAGATTGATGTCAAGGTGCTTACTGCCTGTGTTTTCTTCTAGGAGTTTTATGGCTTCAGGGTTTATGTTCAAATCTTCCATCCATTTTGAATTTGGGGTTTTTTGTATTGTCTAAGATAAGGGTCCAGTTTCCTTCTTTTGCATGTGGCTGTCCAGTTTTCCCAGCACCCTTTATTGAGGAGACTGTCCTTTCCCCAAGCTTACATTCTTGTTGGGAGAAGTACGCAGTAACCAAATAAATAAGTACGTGGTACTGTGTGGCACATCAGATCATAATAATTGCTATTGGAGAAAAACACAGGGAGAGGGGCGGGAGGGGGAAGACTGGGGTGTTGCAGTTTTAAAGACAATGGCCACTGTATTTAAGAGAGGAGGTGACATTTGAGCAGGTTCCTGAAAAAGACTCTAATGGATTACATTCCTGTGAGAAGGAAATTGAGCAAGTTAACCTGTGCTCAACTGTATATTTCAACTGTGTCAAAATTTTTTGTCTTGCTATTTTAAAATTTAATTTCAACAGGAAACAAATACATGTCGGGGGGCGAGGTGAAAGAAAAGAGGACCATTTCTGTAGGTGGGGTGTCTGGGAAAGGATAGATCTAAAAGGGCTAGTAGCGAAATCCCCTTCTCCTTAATTGCCAGGAGGAGCTGTGCCCAGTGAAATCAAGGGTGACAGGTGTGCGATGGCCTTTGCCTTCATGTGACCTCAGTCTGTTTCTCAGGAGCTGTTTCTGACATCATCCGTTGACAGTAGAGTAATAGGTTTTATTTTGACAACAGAAGATTATTGCATGGTGGGGCTTTAATAAACACTCTTTAGGGCTTTATGTCTGGGAAGCTTAAACCTAATTCCTTGCATTGTAACGCTAATGATTCGTGCTTGTTATGTCTCTTGCAGCTTTGTAGGAAGCTAACCTCCAAGAGGCAGACGGGATGGCTAGCTCAGCCCGGGAGCACCTGCTTTTTGTGCGGCGTCGAAATCCCCAGATGCGGTACACACTGAGCCCAGAGAACCTCCAGAGCCTGGCTTCCCAGAGCTCCATGCCGGAGAACATGACCCTACAGAGGGCGAACAGCGACACAGACCTGGTGACTTCCGAGAGCCGCTCCAGCTTGACTGCGAGCATGTACGAGTACACGCTGGGGCAAGCCCAGAACCTCATTATCTTCTGGGATATTAAAGAGGAGGTGGACCCCAGTGATTGGATTGGACTTTATCATATAGGTGAGTGACATGAAATGGACTTGCATGTGACTTAGAGCATACATTTTTACTCTGATAGTACACTATTGTGTATTTTTTCCTGGGCGGGGGGGTCCGGGGGTGGGGGGACCACACACACAAATAAACCCGGCAAGATTCTGGGACTTCTTTTTCCTTCTTCTTTAGAAGGGAAAGAATCAACAATAATAAATACCTTTGCTGATATGAATTTTGTGGTTATATTTCTACCCTGATTAAATGCCAGAACCTGCAGATTTTATAATATTTTCTTTTTAAAGCTTCACATTGCCCTTAATCAGTAGTCCCATTTCGGGAAGAATTGGGTATTAACTTTTACTAATATTTTTAAACTGATGAAAAAGATGTCTCGATTTAGATAACTAATGTGAAAAAATGTTCTGTACTTTCTTTTTTTTTTCCCAGCAAAGCAAAGTTTATTGAGCAATAGTAAAGTGATAGTACAAAGCTCCCAAAGAGGGAGGGGACCTGAGAGAGCTGCACTGTTCTTTAGTTTCTAAAGATTGAATTTCTTGAAGAACAACTTGCAGTCTATGGTATCTTTTTATTTCAAAATTCCTGATGTGTCCTTGATCAGTTAGGTAAAGAAAGTGTCATATTTTCCTAACAAATGACTTAGGAATAAGTTGCTATTTGTTTTAATAGAAATGTCCCAGCTGTGTTTAGCTAATTTGCACTTGTTATGCATAGGTGAGCGAATGATGAATGGCATATGCCAGAAAATATAAAATTTGCTTTATTGAAAGTAAAAATCCAAACCCTACCAACCGGGCTTAAAGAAAATCTAAATTAAACCTGATAATAAAAATCTAACATTCCCCAAAGTTGGGGAAGTTTTTCACTCAGTGAAGGGAATTCCTTTCAAAATTTAACATCAAGTATTTTAATAGAAAGACATGTTTGCTTTCACTGTAAATTATAAACCAGGCATTTTTGTTGTTTGTTTTTTTGGAGTGAACTAGGGGGAAAAAAGACCTATTTGTTTATGGCAGTGCTTCTCATTCAGGGGCGATTTTACCCCCTACAGGCCATTTGTAATGTCTGGAGACATTTTTGGTTGACACAGCGGGGTAGGGAATGGGAGACCAGGGATGCTGCTGGACGTCCCGCAATGCACAGGACCGCCTCCCACAGCCATCTGTTAGCACCACCCTTGACAAACTCTGATTTAAGGCAAAGTAACATCCTTGCTGACAGTTTATCAAAATGTTCAACCCACTAAAATTTACGTTTCACAGCAACAAAGAATTTTATGTTGACTAATATTGATTGGTATTTACTAATGTAACTCTATTAATCATGCTGGATAACAAGAAATCTAAAATGGCAAAAAAAATTTCAAGAACTTTTATTTTTCTGTTTCCTCTTATGACAATTTTTACCCAGGTGTGTTTAAATATATATTGAAGATGGGGAAGGTAGGATTTAAAAATTGTATTTTTATTTCTGATAGCTATTATATTCACAAAAAAGTCTTACAATTTTGATGGGACTTTGGAAGTGATTCTTTTGGTTTTTTGTAACTTCAACTTTTTAGATTTCACCAAACTGTTTTCTTTTCATTTTAATATGATTTTTTAAAATATTTACCTATCTTCAAGTTTACTAACTTTTAATATTTTCATCTTCATTCTGTTGTCAGTCGCATCCAGTGGATTTTAAAATTTCAGTTATTTGACTTTACATTTGTAGAGTTTTCATTTCTTTTTCTTTTTGTATATTTTATTTTTCTCATGAGATTCCCTGTATGTTAACTCACTCAGACCATATTTTCATTCAGTTATTTGAATTGAATCGAATGTATCTGCTTTAAGTTCTCTGCAAAATCCAGTATCTGGGCAGTTTCTATTATCTGTTTATCTGTTGACCATGGATCCCATTTTCCTGTTTCTTTACATATCCAGCAGTTCTTGATTTTACACTGACTATTGAGAATTCTAAGTTGTCGAAATCCCGAGTTCTGTAGAACAATTTTTATTTTAATGTTAATTTTTATCCTAGTAGGCAGATTTCTTTTTTTGAACTTGCTAGGTATAATTTTCCCCTTTGTGAGGATGGATCCGTGGAAAGCCCAAAGTGGTTCCCCAGCACTTCTAACTTGATGGGGTTCAGCCTCCAAGTTTGGTCTCCCCTATGGATTTTGTTAGGACTTGGTTTAGGGCTTTGCTAGGCTAAATCTATGGTAAGCCTTGTTGGCCTTTGTACTTCTTTCTAAGTAGTGGCATTTCTGATGTCTGAGTGGATGCCTGGAATGTCGACCACGTGTCTTTTCTCTGGCTGGGTCATAACTCCAGTGTTCTCTAGCACTGCTGGGCCTCTAGGAACTTCAGCGCACTCTCAGCCCCGTTAGCAGCTACTCTCTACAAAGCCTTGGTAGTGTTTCTCTGCACATGCGCAGTCCAGACATTAGCCTAGGGCTTGTGGGTATCCCGATGCACTTCTGACCTTCACCCCTCCATAGTTCTTTCCTTCCCCATGCCCTGCCTGTTGATCCATACTCTGATCTCTGCATCCTCAGCCTGTCAGAACTTCCATGGACTCAGGAAGTTGTCCCCTGGCTGAGATCTGGGTGGTCATAGAGTCACCTCATCAGTTTCTCTTCCCTCTGGGGTTTTCGTCTTAAGCCACCTGTCATGCAATGTCTGAAAACCACTGCCTCCCAGTTTTACAGTGGTTTCCATCAGGAAGGCTAGTCTGGAACTAATCACTGCCCTAGGCCCTGAAGCAGAAGTTTCTTCCATGCTTTTGATTTCCCGTAGGCAATGAGAGATTTCACTTAATTTTCCCATCTCACCATTTCCAGAGAACTCTGAATGAATAATAAATGGTGGCTTAAGTTCCATGGGCTTGTTAGTTCTTCTTAGTGTTTTTTCTAATAGTTTTAGATCTTTGGCAGGGCAGAGAGAACTGGAGCCCTCAGACCTCTCAAGGGACTGGGATGAACACAGAGACTAGCATCTGCAGGTGAAAATACCATGTACTTGGGGTTCTAGGGCATGTTGTTGGTTCCAACAGTTCTTCTGCAGCAAAGGAGTCTGAAAGGCACAGGTCCCAGCATCTAAGACATTAAATCTGGTTCATTTCTATGGTTGAAGGGCCACAGCTATCTTTCAGAGGAAGCCTGGCTGATCTGGGACCTCAGAATGAGTGAACAGAGACCTGGCTTTAGACAGAGATAGCCATTGCTCCTGGGGCTAAGGTGGGCTATTCTGACCTCTAGGCTGGAGGCAGCCTCACTTCTGTGGGGACTTTGCCCTCCCATGTGGAGAGGGGTAGGTGGCAGCTTTGTGGGTTTTCACAGAGAGCTGTTTCCTGATCCTTCTTCCTTACAGGGTCAGGGCTCAGCAGCAAGCCATTCATCTCAGGGCACGTAGGCCCTCCCCAGAGTCAGGAAAGTTCTAAATTTACATGGTAATCCAACGAGTGAGTAGTCTAGGAGTGGGCTGTGAGCCAGCTCTGGGCCGGGGAGATGTAAGGGAAAGACTTTGGGGGAACTTCCTTTTCCAGTGAAAAGCCAGAGTCTCCTGTAGAGTCATTAAATTTCCTTTTCTCTTGTACCTGGGGCTGTGGTGACAAGATGTGATATCTTGAACTGTTGCATCCATGGAGCAACCGTAAGACATCAATCGAGATTAAAAGCTATGAATGACAGAGCAGAAAGTCAGAATGAGCTTGGACTGGCACTCCAAAGTTCTTGCCATATGTGGAAAAAATCTCCCCCTCTTTGCTTAAGTCCTCACTGTGAAGCTCTCTTGTATCTGCAGTTAATCCTGACTGAGCTGCTAGGTGGTATAAAGATGCCGAAGGGAAAAGGAGGGACACGAACTGCTTGTGATGGCAGGACAGAGAGTGTGGGCTACTCCAGTAGTTACTACTTCAGGGAATGTGCCTGGGGCTGCTTTAACAGACTTAAAAACCACTAGGTCATTGTTTTTATTTTTGTTTTTTAAAGTAACAAAAATCTGATATAAAAATTTTGAAAACAGTAACTCCAAGCCATGTGGAAATTTTCAAAAGTTTAGTAGGGCCAATCATATGACAGGAAGCATCTACGGAATGAGTAAGGAAGAAACGCGAATATATACCAAACTGTTCTGGGGCACTATTACGTGAAGGTGGCGAGGTGATACATTTGGAGAAACCCGAAAGAAAAGAGGAAATGCAAGGCCAGGATAGAGAAAGGAATTCCGGGGCACAAATTATGTCACCAGTTTAAGGCTGTTGCGGCTAAATAGAAATACAACAGTAGCATACATGTCAGGTGCGGCCTCAAACTCCTGTCCCTCCTGGTAGGGAGTAGAAGAAGAAGAAGAAGCCCCCCTTCAGTCGAGTCCTGAGAAGCCGGACTGTTTCCTAGCAATGCCCAGTTTTATTTGTGGAACAGAGAGATGGTCTCTATAGAAATGAATCCCAAAGGAAAAGGATTTGGGTGGAACGTCTGGCCAGTGAGGTGTGGCTTATTGGCACACTCTGCACTTTGATTGTGTTTCTCTTGGCTTACATTTTCTTACTCTCAAGAAGTGTGAGTTTTGCTTGTGTTTGGCTAATTGTTAATAAGGTTTTGCATTGTACAAGTCAGTCCAGGTGACTTTTAGCTAATCTGGAGCGAAAATATATACTCCTGGATCAGAAAAATAAATTGTTCTCCAGGCATTTTAAGCAGTATATACATCCTATTGGGAATACAAAGGGAAAAAAATTGAAAATATCAAAGTGCCATTTGGGGTAAATTTGGGGGTGAACATAATTCTTAAAACAGGTGCTAATTATATTTTCTCTCTCCAGAAAGTCTCAGATACACCCTGAGATTTCCAGAGATGATTGCAATGTAGCTATAGCTCTGAATCTCCAAATTACAGCAATTAATGCCTTGCAAATGGTTTTCAAAAATCACTAGATTTATAACTTATTGTTGGTCTCCGTAATGAGAAGTGACCCCTGACAAGAGTAACACTGCTACTCATTGCTTCCTTCTAAGCAGT